GAGCCTTGGTTCTCGAGAGAGGTCAAGAGGAAGAAGGATGCTTATATAAGGTTTAGGAAACAAGGATCAGAAAAGGCTCTAGATGGATACAAGTTAGCCAGGAAGGAGCTGAAGAAAGGGCTTAGGAGAGCTAAAAGGGGACATGAGAACACCTTGGCAGATAGGATCAAGGAAAACTCCAAGGCTTTTGATACGTACATGAGGAATAAGAGAATGACCAGAAAAAGGGTAGGGCCAATCAAGGATTGTAAAGGGAATTTGTGTACGGAGCCTTAAGAGATAGGAGAGGTCCTTAATGAATACTTTTCTTCGGTATTCACAACTGAGAGGGACCTAGTTGTAGGGGAGGACAGTGTGAAACAGGCTGGTAGGCTAGAGAGGTGGATGTTAGTAAGGAAGATGTACTAGGAATTTTGAGGAACTTGAAGATAGATAAGTGCCCGGGCCTGATGGGATTTATCCAAGGATTCTATGGGAAGTGAGGGAAGAGATCGCAGGGCCTTTGGCGATGATCTTTTCGTCCTCACTGTCCATGGGTATAGTGCCGGAAGTTTGGAGAGTGGCAAACATCATTCCCTTGTTCAAAAAAAAGGAACAGGGATAACCCCGGAAATTACAGGCCAGTTAGTCTTACTTCAGTGGTGGGCAAATTATTGGAAAGGGCTCTGAGAGATAGGATTTATGATCACTTGGATAGGCACAGTTTGATTCGTGATAGTCAGCATGGATTTGTGAGGGGTAGATCATGCCTCACAAACCTTACTGAATTCTTTGAAGAGGTGACCAAACACATGGATGAAGGTAGAGCAGTGGATGTGGTATACATGGATTTAAGTAAGGCGTTTGATAAGGTTCCCCATGGTAGGCTCATGCAGAAGGTAAGGAGGCATGGGATAGGGGGAAATGTGGCAGATTGGATTCAAAATTGGCTGACCCTTAGAAGACAAAGGGTGGTAGTGGACGGAAAATATTCAACATGGTGCTCAGTTACGAGTGGTGTACCACTTGAGGATCTGTTCTGGATCCTCTTCTATTTGTGATTTTTGTAAATGATTTGGATGTAGCAGTGGAAGGGTGGATTAGTAAGTTCCCGGACAATACAAAGGTGGTTCGAGTTGTGGATGGTGCGGAGGGCTGTTCTAGGTTACAAAGGAATATTGATAGGATGCAGAGCTGAGCTGAGAAGTGGCAGATGGAGTTTAACCCTGAAAAGTGTGAGGTGATTCATTTTGGAAGGACAAACTTGAAAGCAGAATACAGGGTTAACGGAAAGATTCTCGGCAGTGTGGAGGAGCAGAGGGATCTTGGGGTTCATGTCCACAGTTCCCTGAAAGCTGCCACCCAGGTGGATAGAGTTGTTAAGAAGGCGTATGGTGTGTTAGCTTTCATTAATAGAGGGATTGAGTTCAAGAGCCGTGAAGTTATGCTCCAGCTGTACAAAAGCCTGGTTCGGCCACACCTGGACTATTGTGTCCAGTTCTGGTCGCCTCATTACAAGAAAGATGTGGAAGCGTTGGAAAAAGGTGCAGAGGAGATTTACCAGGATGTTGCCTGGAATGGAGGGAAGGTCTTACGGGGAAAGGTTGAGAGAGCTAGGGCTTTTCTCTTTAGAACGACGAAGGATGAGAGGTGACTTGATAGAAGTGTACAAAATGATCAGAGGTATAGATAGAGTGGACAGTCAAAGACTTCTTCCTAGGGTGGAGGTAGCTATTACGAGGGGGCATAGTTTTAAACTGAGTGGAGGTAGACATAGGGGAGACGTCAGAGGTAGGTTCTTTACTCAGAGAGTGGTAGGGGCGTGGAATGCATTGCTGGAGAGGGTAGTGGAGTTGGCCTCATTAGGGGCATTTAAGCGGCCATTAGGCAGGCATATGGATGATAGTATAAGGTAGGGGTGGAGGTTAGATAGACCTTAGGTTTAGGGTAAAAGTTCGGCACATCATCGTGGGCCGAAGGGCCTGTACTGTGCTGTACTGTTCTATGTTCTGTGTTCTATGTAAGGTTAGTAATTTTGCCAATGACACTAAAGTTGGTGGTATAGTGGACTGTGAAGAAGGTTATCGAAGATTACAAAGCTATCTTCATCAATTGCGTCAATGCGTTGAGGAGTGCTAGAAGGAATTTAATTTGGATAAATTTTGGTAAAACGAACAAGGGCAGGACTTATACAGTTAATGGTAGGGTCCTGAGTGGTGTTGTAGAACAGAAAGATCTAGGGGTTCAGGTATACAATTCTTTGAAATTTGCATCACAGGTCAACAAGATAGTTAAGAAGGCATTTAGCAAGCTTTCCTTCATTGCTCAGACCTTTGAGTATAGAAGTTGGGTTGTCATGTTGAGGTTGTACAGGACGTTGGTGAGGCCACTTCTGGAGCAATGTGTGTAGTTCTGGTCACCCTGTTATAGGAAGAGTATTATTAAATTGGAGAGGGTTCAGAAAAGATTTACCAGGATGTTGCCAGAAATGGAGAGTTTGAGTTATAAAGAGAGGCTAGATAGGCTGGGACTTTTTTCATTGGAGGTTGAGAGGTAACCTTATAGAACTTTATAAAATAATGAGAGGTATTGTTAATGGTAGTTGCCTTTTCCCTTGGATGGGGTTTTTAGGACTAGGGAGCACAATTTTAAGTTGAGAAGAGAAAGATTTATAGAAGTTTATAAAATCATGAGGGGCATAGATGAGGTGAATAGCAAAGGTCTTTTCCCTAAAGTGGGTGAGTTCAAACTAGGGGAGGGGCATATTTTTAAGGTGAGAAGAGAAAGATTTAAAAAAGGACATGAGAGTCAAATTATTTTACACAGAGAGTGGTTGGTATGTAGAATGAACTGCCGGAGGAAGTGGTAGATGCAGGTACAGTTACAATGTTCAAAAAGCTTTTAGATAAGTACAGGAGTAGGAAAGGATTGGAGGGACATGGGCCAAATACAGGCAGGTGGGACTAGTTTAGTTTGAGAACATTGTTGGCATGGACTCGTCAGACTGAAGGGTTTGTTTCTATGCTGTATGACTCTATAAAATCTCTGTATTTATACACCACTCCCTTTGAAATAAAGGCCAACAGTCCATTTACCTTCCCAAGTACCCGCTGAACTTTTGTGATTCATGCACTCGGAACCCCCAATTCCCTTCCTGCTTCAACCTGCTATGGTATTTCTCCATTTAAATAATATTCAGCACTTCTTTTCTTCCTGGCAAAGGGCATAATCTCACATTTACCTAAATAATGCATTACATCTGCCAGGTTTTTTCTCACTAACTCAATGTGTTTATATCCCTCTGGACTCTCTTTCTTTGTGTGGCAACCCATCTATTTTTGTGCCATTGCAAACTTGGCAACAGCACATTCACTTCCCTCATCCTAGTCATGGATTGATATATTGAGCAGTCGTGAATATGTTCGGTGAAGAAGAAAGTGGTTATCATTGCAAGATGAGCTTGACAAGAACGTGAGGGAAATGCAGAAGAAACTGGAGATTAATGTGAGTTTAGGGGTAGACCGGGCACTCTTCAGAATAAATACAGCTTGATGAGCTAGTGGAAGGCAGATCATCATGGTAAAGAAGTCCACAAGCTTGACACAAGCGATGTTAGAAGTGAAGGAGCTATGGGAGATTGGTTTTCGCTTGCAATGGACAAAATAAATCATGATTTACCTTTGCATTCTAAGATAATCCTGGAATAATGTGCAATTTTGGCAGAAGAAGGCAAGACCCAATGGTACTGCATATGGTCCTGCTGGATTTTTATAACTCTTACTCATGTAATTAGAATCCCAACATTGTTGCTTTTAGAATGTTACATTTTGGTCACTGTGAAAATGACTCTAGCCAGGGTCAGTTAATCCAACTTCTTGAAATAAGTAAATTGAAATGGGGATTGACACATGTAGTGCCTGTCTGGTGGCTTTGTTTTAATTAATCAACAAATTTATGACCCAGCGCAAATGTTGATTATTGATTTCAGACAAATAATTTCAAAATAGCATCTGGATTTATGCCACTCATGTTATTATGTCGGTTATGTGACAGTTTCCAATCTGATTTGCCCTTGGGTGCAGAGAAATATGTAGATGTTAGACAAGAGAAACGGGCCATTCAACCCACCACTGTTTCCGTATTTACCATCCCGTAAGTAAATAATCCCAGTCACATTTGTCTTCCCATTCTCTTAGCTTTTTTTGTTATCCGCCTATCCAGTTTGATCTTAAATGTTGACATAGGGCCATGGTTCAAAAGTACCCATCCACCAGCAGACAAACATTAGCTGGTGGAGCCCCCAAGTTTCAACCTGCCTGATTTTAATGGAAAGAGAACTTGAGCAAGTGTAAAACAAGCACATTGTATCAGGGTAGCTCTGTTGGTGGATTGGCCTGAATTCTACAATTAGAAGTTTCTAGCCCCACTCCAGGACTTGAGTACAATTCCTTGACTATCAATAAGAGCAGGACAGAGAGAACGTTGTAGGTGCTATCTTTTGGATGAAATGTTAAATTGAGGCTCCATTTGCCAGAAAAGGTCCATTGGCATGCTCTGAAGAGGCATCCTGTCGAACATTTATATCTCAACCAGTGTTCTAAGAACAGGTTAAGTGGGCTTATATCACAGTGTTATTTGTGGGATCTTGCTGTGTGCAAATTAACAGCCATGCTTCCCTGCATGGCAGGAGTGATGGCATTTCAAAAGTAACAAATTGGCTGTAAAATACTTTGGAATATTCTGCTGAGGTTGAAGGTAAATCCAAGTTATTTTCTGTTTTATTCATAACTGTGCAGGAATTATTGTTTTCCATTACTGGTTACCCTTGGAACTGAACTGCATGCCATTTATCTATTCAGCTTGTTATTTTGCGTAAGCATTGCCAGTTTTAATCTCTTGTAGAGAACGGAGAAAATGTCAAAGCTGCAGATAATGCTTAGTTTTTTTTTGTTTACTACCTATTTGAAGCATTTGTTTATTTTTGCTGATGCTAATTATTTTCCTCTTCCTGTACTCCTTAGGTTAATGGACACAGCCAGAGAAATGACTCGTGAATCATTGCCAATTAAATGCCTTGAAGCTGTGATTCTTGGAATGTATCCTTATTTGATAGGTTTACTTGGCTTTTCTGAGTCATTTTGTTTGCTAAATATTCATTAAATGTAATAATCCATGCACTAGGTCTATGAAAATTGATATTAAATTCGAAGGAAGGTCATGTCAGGCAGTCCTGTTGCTAGGAGACCTAAGGAGAATTCCTGTGCAAGAAGCCAGGAATATGAAATATTTACGCAAGACTTCATTTTGTTCCATCGATTATCATCAAGTCATTTAAATTGGGTCAACTGCCAGCTGCTTAGAAAAGCTTGGATAGATTAAAGTTTTAACTCTCGACTGACTGCGATAGATTTTATCTAAACATAAAAGGCAAGAGAGAAAAAGATTCAATATTCACAAAAAGTGATGCATGATCTACAAAATATTGGATGATTTAGAGCTTTGTTTGACAATTTGATTCCCCTAAAGTAAAACGCATTACTTTCAATCTACATTTCCTTAGCTGAATTATGAATTGACCTTTCTCATTATTTACTGGTAAGAATTGCAACCATGCCACAATCAATATCAATATTTAGTCGCCATTGCTTTGAGGTCAACTTCAGAGTTTTACCCCTGAAGAATTTATGGGAGTGGTGATGGAAAATAAACCTTGCATTATGATTTAATTAAGCTCTTGGTAACCTAACAAAGATTGTAGACTCCATGACCAATAAATTGGACCAACCTACACCAGTTAGATGTGGTAATATCTATTCATCATTTCATCTCATCCCATTCGCCGTACTCACTGAAGAGGTTTCATTCATTGTAGTCTCCATGTGCAAAGCTGTGGGATGAAGAGCCACGATACTTGATGAGTCCCATTAAAGTTTATGTGATCAGCTAACACGAGCATGTGTACAGCATTTGAAGAAAACACAAGGAATTGAGCTTTGTTTGAGCACTGAATGTTTCATCCACTGAGATTCATATGTTCAGAAGTGGTCTGACAGTGTTTTGTTAAAGGTTATCTTTAACCTCTACAGCATTGTAAGCCAAGGTCAATCATCTTCGATAGTAGGAACTGCAGATGCTGGAGAATCTGAGATAACACCGTGTAGAGCTGGATGAACACAGCAGGCCAAGCAGCATCAGAGGAGCAGGAAGGCTGACGTTTCGGGCCTAGACCCTTCTGCCCCATTTCTGAAGAAGGATCTAGGCCCGAAACGTAGGCCTTCCTGCTCCTCTGATGCTGCTTGGCCTGCTGTGTTCATCCAGCTCTACACGGTGTTATCTCAATCATCTTGGTTTAGGTTTTGTTGTTCCTTTGCTCCTGATGTTAATTCATTCTGATCTTTACTGGATGTTGTAGCATAGATTTGAAGAATTTTCACGTCCGGTGTGTAGCCTTACAAATCCTGGGGCATGCTGGGAATTCAGTTTGGGAGTTTGGTGGACTTTTCAGGATTTTCTTTCCTTTTAGCTAAATGCATGGAAAATCCCACAGGGTTTACTCACCTCTTTTAGGGTTGTCAATAAGCACTCACAGTCCATGAAACTCAGTGTTGGATGTGAAATTCATAACATCCATTCTAGTATGTTAGTTGAGACTTTCACAGGAAGGAAAAAAAAATCCCCAGTCAAAGCGATACATGGCAACTGGTGCAGTATAGAATAGTTGATGAAAAGCTGATTTCTTAATATTTAATTAATCTTTAATCTGTAATCTTTAGTTTTTAATCTGTTAACAGCTATGATGCCCCATTGTATTGTCATTTCACTTGTGGGACATGGGTCTCTTCCAGTCATTATTTTTGGGATGAAATTTTGATTGTGAAATTCATGACTTTGGTTAGTGTCAATAGCTCTCTGTTGTATGTGTGACGTAAAACCAATTGGCGATTGTAATTATTCTTCACAATGCAATTACCATTCGACAGAAAACTTCTGTTAGCATGTGAATGGGAGCAGTGATTTGTGTTCCTCACTTCCCAGCCCAGTCTTGATATGTTAGGAAGGACTGTAGACCCTTTTTAAATTTTAACTTTTTCAAATTAAGATTTGCAATAGTTGCGGTTATTGTGGAACCTTTTCGTTCCTCCAGTGTTGCAAGGCCACTGCCTCCAATGAGCTCACAGCCAATGGGACATGTGGAACTGAGACAAATCTGCAGTCACATTGCAATTTTTACTTCATGGTGAACTAAAAGCTGAAAGGTATACAGTGAACAGTACAAGTGCACATAAGGCACTTTGAGTCTAGGTATTATGAACAATATTATTTTAGCGTGTGTGGTAAAATATTTAAAATAAAGCTGATCACCAAATTTAGGAGTTTGACTGATTGATTGAGTGATTATCACATGTACCAATGTACAGTGAAAAGCTTTGATTACAAGTAGTACAGGCAGATCATAGTAAGCAAGGATGTACAGATCAAAAAGACTTAGAGGCATACAGGTTACAGGGCGCATGCTAGGCGAGATCAACGTTAGCAGGATCAGCATTATTTGAGACTACAGAGTCCATTCATCAGTCTGATAACAAACAGGAAGAAGCTGTTCCTTGGAGATTGGAAATAAAATCACACCAATAACTTGCTCTGTATGTGACATGGAGAGCAGGGGATGATAACATGTCCAGATCAGAAAGTTTATTGTACACAATTGATGTGGTATGTCTGTTACTCTGCACCATATACTGTCAGCAAACAATCTCACCTACAAGAGATGATCTTCCACCTGATCTGCAAATTAGCTACACTACAGATCTGATGTAAATGTGAATTTTTAAATCTATTTTTAAGCTGAAAAAGATTTTGATGTCCCACTATATTACCTCAAGTTTCCATTTAAAGAAATGAGCTAGGCTGATGGACCTTACCATTACAATGTTGGATATTTGAGGTCTCCATGATACAATGGACAGTGGATAATTCACCATCTGATGTAATACAGACATGAATATTATAAAAATACAACATTCAGTTCCTATTTTGTCTTTTGATGTGGTCTGAGAAGTGGCTGGGGGAAGGGTACAACGCCCGTGAATTTAGTGTTGCTAAACCAGAAACAATCAAACAAAACTTAGCCAGGAGTCCGGCTCCTGAATTGTCATCTTCTGTCTCAACTCTGTCTTCCATAAAATGTTTGAAGATATTGGCCAAAGGCAGCTGCTTCCGATCTCACTCTGACTGCAAGGAGAAGTTGATTGATTTTGCTTCAAATTTCCAACTCTCTCATTTATGATTGGGTAAAATGGAATGTGGCAGGTTTAGGGGTTGGGGGCATTTAATCAGGCAGGAAGAGTGATGGGTAGGGACCCACTGCCTTGCTGCCACTGCATTGATGAATTCTGCAGTGGGAAATCTCATGGATGACCTTGCCCTTCTGCCACCAGTTGAGACCCTGGGCCTGATTCCACTGTTGCTGTAATTTACCCAATAGCTGGCAGGGCATTTGGCATGTTGGGTGGGAAGTCCTTCAATCAAAGGCATTCTATGCCTGATTACATAGAAACATAGAAAATAGGTGCAGGAGTAGGCCATTCGGCCCTTCAAGCCCGCACTACCATTCAATACGATCGTGGCTAATCATGCAATTTCAGTATCCTATTCCCACCCTCTCTCCATACCCCCTGAATCCTTTAGCCACAAAGGCCACATCCAGCTCCCTCTTGAATATAGCTAACGAACTGGCCCCAACAGCTTCCTGTGGGAGAGAATTCCACAGGTTCACAACTCTCTGAATGAATAAATACTTCCTCATCTCAGTCCTGAATGGTTTACCCCTTATTCATAGACAGGGACCCCTAGTTATGGACTTCCCCAACATCGAGAACATTATTCCTGAATCTAATCTGTCCAGTCCCATCAGGATTTTATATGTTTCTATAGGACACCCCTCATTCTTTTAAATTCCAGCGACTACAAGCCCAGTCGATCCAGTCTTTCCTCATATGTCAGACCTGCCATTTCAGAAATCAGTTTGATGACCCTTCACTGGACTCCCTCAATAGCAAGAATGTCCTTCCTTAGACTAGGAGACCAAAACTGCACACAATACTCAAAGTGTGGCCTCACCAAGGCCCTGTATAACAGCAACACATGCTTATTCTGATATGACAGCCAACATGCCATTAGCTTTCCTCACCACCTGCTGCACCTGCATGCCAACCTTCAGCGACTGTTCCACCACAACACCCGGGTCTTGTTGCACCTCACCTTTTCCTAAACTGCCACTATTCAGATAATAATCTGCTTGCCTGTTTTTGCCATTGAGGTGGATAGGATAACCTCACATTTATCCACATTATATTGCATTTGACAAATATTTGCCCACTCAGCCAGTCTGTCCAAGTCACCCTGCAGCCTCTTAGCATCCTCCTCACAGCACAAGCTGCCACCCAGCTTAGTGTCATCTGCAAATTTAGAGACTTCGCATTCAATTCCTTTGTTCAAATCATTAATGTCTGTTTTGAACAACTGTGGTCCCATGATTGAACCCTGTGACAGCCACTCATCACTGCCTGTCACTCTGAAAAATATCTGTTTATTTCAACTCTCTGCTTCCCATCTGCAAACCAGTTCTCTACCCATTAAAGCCTGTTGAGAGCCACCCATGGCATTGCTGCTGGCTCCCTTCACCCCCACACCCCGATGACCCCCTTCTGTCATCACTCTCTCCCGCCTGGCTCCATCAGTGATCCTAAGCCTTGGGTGGGTGTATCAGTAGCTTCCTTAGTGGTAATACCATGCAATAAAGAGTTTCCAGCCTGCACACAGCATCTTTGATCCCAGGGATGGTGAGCTGCTGCCCACTTGTGTCTTAGTGGTACTTAATGGCCCTTGCAGAAAAGAGGTGGTGTGAGGCTGTCTAGCTGGTTGGTGAAATGCCCATCACCACCATTATAAATCACCCATTTATTGTTGAACCTCTGACTTTACCATCCTAAACTTTTGCATCTGCATCTCTGAACGTCCATTAATATCTAGTGCTGTTGTGCGAGTCTTTTCCTTATGCTAATTTAGTAGAGAAATATCAAAGCACCAACCATGC